ACGGAGAGATCTGACGGTAACACAGCAGAAGGTGAAACAGCAGCATTTAGATATGGAACATTGCTAAGTAGCCTTTAGACCATATCTATATGCTTGCCACAACTTAAGTAACATATATGCTTCTGTAGAGACTCAAAAGATGGCAGTGCACAGTATAGTAATTTACCATAAAATGTATAGCTAAAACAATGCCTCCAGTGTGCAAGTACTAATGTATGTGTTTAAGTTTATGCAGTGATTTGTTCCCAAAAATCTCAGTGTGTAAGTATGTTCATAAGTCATTGCAGGGCTAGGACCTTAGACTGTAAACTCTTTAAGGCATGGCCTGTTTCTTATTGCGTGGGTAGCACAATGGAGCCCTCAGTGCCTCCAGATGCTAAAATAATAGAAGTAATAATGTTTGTACCTGCAGTTGTACAAGTTCAGCAAAAACTGCAAGGAGTCCCGTGGCACCTTAAAGACTAACAATTTTATTATGACACAGAATTTTGTGAGTTGTAACTCATTTTGTTAGATTCATGAAATGAATGAAAAAGAAACAGATTGTGGGGATACAGAAAAGAGAGTGTTACATGAGGGCTAATTCAGTAAGAGTGGTCATAGATGATACGGTGAGAACAGCTAAAGTGGAAAATAACTTACCGTATTTTCTGGCGTATAAGGCGACTGGGCGTATAAGACAACCCCCTAATTTTCCAGTTAAAACATAGGTTTTGGCCTATACTCGCCGTATAAGACTACCCCCCCTTCCGAGGCAACACCATTTAATAACATCAGATTTGATTTAAATAATTTTAATTAAAATGGTTTTGACTTACCGGTACTTAAAATCCTTCAAAATCCTCATCATGTTCATCCTCTGACATCATAAGTTCATCAATGACATCTTGTGGTACTTTTGTAAGACAGTCATCATATGGATCTAATTCCGAATCAGATGGTGTGGCTTCAGCTTTGGCGTCCCCTTCATCATGCCACAAGAAGTCGTCCTCCATACCATCCAAAGAATTTGATATGCCACACTTCTTGAAAGACTTGATCACTGTTTCTGCATCAATATCATTCCAGGCTTTTATGACAAAGTTACACAAAACATCCAATTGTGGCGCACGCATGTTTCCTCCTTTTGTGAATGACTTTTCGCCGCTAACCATCCACTCATTCCACTGTTCTCGAATGCGATCTTTAAATGACTTGTTTAGGCACACAGTGCCTGTACCAATGATGTCAATCCTGCAGGAATAACTGCCGCATCTGTGTTTATTCTTGCCAGCCTTTTCTTTGTGCTGGTAGTTAAATGAGCCCTGAACATATCCCACACCAGTAGGCTACGTTCTTGACGAAGTCCACCTGGTCACCTACTCCATACATTATCAAGCCATAGCTTTACCCCTTCTTCATCCATCCAGCCTTTTTCATTCACATGTACAAAAACTCCAACAGGGAACTTGATTTTCGGCATTGTTTTTCTTTTAAAAATAATCATTGGTCTTAGTTTGGCGCCATCAGCTGTACATGCTAGTACCACTGTAAAACTGGACTTCTCATGTCCTGTTGTTTTAATTAACACTGTTTTTGCACCTTTTGGATTAACCGTTTTATTTCCAACCATATCAAAATTCATAGGAGTTTCATCCATATTTCTGATCTGACTTAACGCATAGCCATGTTTCTTGCGCTGTTGTATTACATATCGATGGAAAAGACTTACTTTGCCATCGAGATCTGCAGGTAATTTTTGTGCAATTTTGGTCTTTTGCCGCAGTACCAGATTATGCCTTTCCAAGAACCTAGTACACCAGGATACAGTGGCCTTAAATCCTTTGCTGTGATCTGGGTTAGATTTGGCCCACTGAAGTGCAAACATACTTATTTTGTTTCATGTCACTACATAACCATTTTGACGATGCTCGTGCACCATGTCTGCTACATGCTTTTCAAGTTCTGACCAATGTGGGGTGCCTCTTCTTAATGCACACTTACTACTTGGCATACTCTTTAATGCACCTTCATTTGCTTTCCAGTCTCGGCCCATCTTTTCTGTTACTCCATATTGACTTGCAGCAGCACAGTTATTATGTTCCTTGGCAAAGTTTACAACTTTCAGCTTGAAATTGGCTTCAAATTTCCTTCTTCTTGCTGGAGCCATGATGGGGTCTTTTCTACCACCCACTTACAGAACGTCCCTAATCTTTTAGGCCGCTGGATGTGCGGTAATACAGTACTGTAGCTTCGGCTACATACAGAACGTCCCTGTGCTGATACTGTATGTACCGTGCTGAGCCAATCCCGGCAAGCGGTGTATTCTATTAATGCATACGAAGCCTGCAAAGGTTGGCAAAGGTTGTAATAGTCCGCCTCTCTGACTCAGCCAATCCGAGCAGGCTTTGTATGCATTAATAGAATACACCGCTTGCCGGGATTGGCTCAGCGCGGTACATACAGTATCAGCACAGGGACGTTCTGTATGTAGCTGAAGCTACAGTATGTTTATACCCGGCGTATAAGATGACCCCCGATTTTTGGGGGATGTTTTTTAGTATAAAAAGTCGTCTTATACGCCGGAAAATACGGTACTGTAATAAGGGAGCCATTCCCAATTCTTATTCAGACCCACTCTGATGATGTAAACTTTACAAGTGAATTCCAGCTCAGTAGTTTCACATTGAAATCTGTTTTTGAAGTTGTTTTGTTTGAGAATGGCAACTTTCAAGTCTCTGACTGTGTGCCCAGGAAGATTAAAATGTTCCCCCACTGGTTTTTGTGTGCTTCCATTCTTATTGTCTGATTTATGTCCAGTTATTCTGTTGCATAGAGACAGAACAGTTTAGTCAATGTACATGGCAGAGGGTCATTGCTGACACAGGATGGCATATATCAAGTTAGTATATGTGCAGGTGAATGAACCTTTAATGATATGGCTGATGTGATTAGGTCTTACGATGGTGTCAGTAAGGTAGATGTGTGAACAGAGCTGGCAACGAGGTTTGTTGCAGGGCTTGGTTCCTGGATTAGTGTTTCTACTGTGGGATGACTACTCATGTGAGTAAGGATTGCAGGATTGGGATCATTTTGCAGGGATTCCAGTGATTTTGCTCTCAGTAGCAGAGATTTAAATACAGAATGATTTGCCTGGAGTTATCCCACATGTGTCAGTATAATGGTAGCAGAATTGGGCCCTCTGTTTCTTTTATTTGTCTTAAAGAAGCATAAATAAATATGGGGTACACAGATCATAAGAATTATGCAAATTATTCAATTAGTCATGCAAATAGATTGCTTGCATCCCAAGAAACAATTAATATTGTGTGTAAAATAAAGTAGCAAATCTGAAATAGCCCACCACTTTTTGATAGCAGACAAATTTCATATTGTCTAATTATCTGGGGGGAGTGGAATAGCCTTCATCCAAAATATATGTATCTTTGCTAATAGAAACATACAGTTTATTTTGGTTTGGCTTTTTTAAAGGCAAGGTGTGGAATTTTCCGAAGTATCTAAGTGGGCTAGGAGCACAGGTCTTGTTGACCTTCTATACCACTTAAGCTCATAAATTACTTGGGTACTTTTGAAAATCTCACCTCAAATGTTTACTGCAAAATAAAAGATGGTAAGATGGCTTCTCTTTCGCACATTAAACTGTGAAATCTTTATGCATATCATGTCAGGTTGCACTTACCTTCAAATGTTGGACTATGATATTGCAAATATTGTACCTTCAACTTTAAAAACAAAATGAAAGTATCACTGCTGAAGACTTTTTAAAATCCTTGCTGATGACTTTAGGCTGATGCATGATCCTTTAGGGGACATTCCATTCCTTACAGAGGCCTACAGAGAGAGTGATATACATTCATGCCATGAGGTAAATATAGGTAAACCAATGTTTGAAACTGTCTTCGCACAAGGTGCTTAATTTTCTTTCCTTCCCATTGACTTTCCAGGGAGCCGAGGGCCTTTAGATTACAGAATTGGGTTCTAGTGTAAGATATTGAAAATGTCTGAAAAGGCAGTAGCAGCTCGTGGAATTGCAGTTCTTCGTACTTCAGCTGTGTTTAAAACTGTTGTTCTAAGCATACCTTGTAGAATGGAGGAAAATTGTGTCCCCATAAATACATATTGTTCCACTTTTTAAAAAACGGATAGATGTGTGTCTTCCTTTGTGGTCACATAATTGTAGTCTGTGAAGATTTGGGGTTGGTTTTGGCCAAATTTAAAATATGTTCAAAGCATGGTCAGTTCTATAGTGCACTACATAGCACAAACATCAACAGGCTGAGATTTCACATAATTGCAAAAACATTTACGGAAGATGTTAATATTGCTGAAATCATTAATCTAAGTTTGGGGTAGATCAGTAACCTATTACAGCTAGTCCTCTGCTTGCTGGATCAGTTAGTGATTCTGTTGCAGCCTTCACTTATCAGCTGAATTAATGTAACTAATGGTGGCATCTGGCCATTGGCAAACAGAGTAAGGAGGGGAAACTAAAATAAAAGTTTCAAGAAAGTAAATTAATTCAATATTTTCACTGGAGTCTAGGGATGTTAATGTTTAAGGGTAAATGATTACTGGAGAGTGTAATAATCTCTGAACAAGTTACTATCTGACCAGTTCCTAATAAAATAGTGTCCATGTCTCAAAAAATCACCATTTGCCAAGCATGGATATTTTTGTTGGTATTTTCAGTAAAGTTTTTACTTGGAGACTGAACTCTCTTCTCACCATAGATCAGAAATGGGGCACAGTGGTGGGAAGAGGTGGCAGAGTGTTCCTTGACACTACCCCTGCTGTACTTGTCCTGGAGATAAGGAGGGGATTTCAGTTTCCTGTTTATCCAGGTGTTGGTGGTGGTAGTTACTGTTATTTTAATGAGCACTAAAATGTATAAAGAAAGAGGAGGTCATGAATGGATCAAGTTTGGAGGGAATATTGGTCTCAGCTTAGTTTAAACCTTGACAGAACAGCATGTCACTTTTAATGTTGCAGGTAAACAGAAAAATAAAGACAAAGAAAGGGTGTTGAGGGAGAATCCTGCTTTTATCTTCACCAAAGACATGCCGTGGAAGTCAGATTCCCAGAAAATTCTGCTTTGAAACAGCTATTTTTATTAATAGCAGACAGAAGTGTAGTATAACCCAAATGTGGACTCTAGAAAGGGGGAAGTCGGTTCAAGTGGCAAATAAATAGATTTGTTACAGACTAGCAAGCAGCTTTCTTAACAATGTTTTGTACACACCTAGCGAGATGGGGACTTGATGAGGTTTGGAGTCTCTGAATACTGCTGTAAGAAAATAAATAATGATAAACATGGAGCGTTAATTGTAAGGAGTCTAATAATAAATTTTCAATACCACAGTCTCTTTTGGGAAAGATCTAGAAAACAATTTAAAACAATTATTTTAAAACCCTGTATATTTTTACTGCTAATCACTTCGTGATTTTTAAATTCTCCACAGCATTACCCCTGTAGAAATCAGGCCAATATTTCCTACATCACAATGAAACTAATTCTTTGTTTGACCTGCGACTGTAATCCTTATGTACATGCCAAGGTTGGCAGAACTATATGCTTTCCTGTGTTGGATTTTAATGCGTGTTGGGAACTACTGAGATTTTAAACTTCCGTTTCAGCCACTTTCTTTAAAGCATAATTTTTAAATACAAAAAAAATGAATACATAAAAAAATATTCAGTTAAATTCTCCCTGAGAAACATTTCATGCGGGTATCTGCAATGATTTGTTAACATTAGTCAGGGTGACTTCAAGGTACTCAGCCTTGAACCCACTTTACTGCGAGTTATATGTTACACTCAGTCTGCCTGCTGATCTTCCATTGATTCTAATGAAAGCTTCTTTTGTGGTCTGAGACTATTAAATGGCCATAAGTGCTTATTACTAAAATATTTAAACTAATTGTTTTGCTGTGCAGCCAGGGGGTCCAATTCTGTCCTTATTTTACATCTGAAGTCCTTCGTATAGGTGCTTCCTCCCCCTTTGACTTCAGAGGGAGTATTACAAAAATGAGTTCCAAATTTTCATACAAGATGATAATCCATTTGTAACTAAGAGGACAATTTGGATAAGAATCTTAAGTCATGTTTCTAAAGTCTGAACAAAGCGAAACAAATATTTTCAACAGGGATGGAATTAATTGGGGGTAACAACTTCTTTTCTCCCTCACTATCCCAATTAGCTTTTTACAATACTGCAAGGGAGGGAGGGGATGATTCAGAATCACTGTTGTCTCTTCTGATCATGTTATTCATAATATTCCTCTCTCAGGCTCATTTTTCTTTGGTTCACACAAGTGTGTGATTTGCAGCAATGCTTTACCAATGGTGTTTGACCAGTGCTTAATTATTTTCTTTAACTTTTTTTGTTTTCATTGCAACTGGTGTCTTCTGGGGGAGGGAGGAAGGTTTATTTAAATGAA